TAAGTTTGCAGTAATTAACGCAGATACATAAGTTGCTATTTAGTTTCTATACATAAAGAATAGGAGATGTAAAAGGGCTCTAACTCTACTTAATAAAGCTATATTTTAGATTGTCTATAACATATTTCTTTATTGCCTCTAGCTTCTTAAGGTTCTGTTTGTACAACAGACTGTAACTGTTAGGGAGAGGCTCTATAAGGACAATCTTGTGGTTATATAGACAATGTACTAGTAGCTAGTAAGCTGCTGTGTGGCTAAATACATCTTAGTACTAATAGTATTTAGAGGGTAATTAAAGGTTTACTAATGCTTTAGTTTTATGTTTAGTGTCTAACTATAAAGCTTACTTGTCTTTAATTAACTGCTTAATTTTATAGATAGAAGTTAAAAAGAACTTGTTCTTCTTCCTTTTTATGTTAAAATAAAAAGCATTTACTAAAATTAGGGTAATAGTGGCTAAATAAACCTCCTTTAGACCTGTTCTAAACTTCTTAATAGATAGGCAGAAAGACAATTTAAGTGTCTTTAGACTATAGACAATAGGAGATCTGTATAATTTTAGTAGCCTTAGCAAACCCTTAATGCAATAAATTATTAGGCTGCATAACTGCTAAAATTAGTCCTTTTCCTATAGTGCGTTGTGTTGTTTAATATCTAGCTCCACTTCTTTGTCACACGCAGGCTAGGTTAATTGCATAAGCAAGGGTAGCAAAGGTTTGTAGGTAGGCAGATATTTACTAGGCTATATAATCTAATTCCTCTCTGTATCTAGATAGAGTTTAAAACAACATAACTATTTAATGCTAATAATGCAATTTTAGGAGCTAAGGTCTATAATAACAAAGAGGCAGTTTTAGATGCTTCTCCTATTAATTTACATGTGCAGGCAGATATACTAGTAGACAGGGACTTAGATTTAATCTTAAAAGCCCTTAACTATAACTTTAAATAGTAAGCGTTAGATAAAGACATAAAGGCATTAGGACAATAACTTAGTAGTTAGTAAGTTAATAAATAAAAAACTATAGGCGCTAGTATTAACTAAGGGATTTAAACAGACTCTAATGCTTTTTAAATACAAAACAGTAGGGACTTAGAAGTGTTTTTTTCTAAACAAGTGCAATAAATTAATGTTTAATAGATTGTACTTACTTAAGCTTAAGACAAAGAGTTTCCCTAGGTGTTGCTATTTCTTATCTAGGAGGCATCTAGATTAAAATTATTTGTGTCTACAAATTCTTTTTTAGAATCTTACTACTCTACCTCTATTTCTTGTACTCTAAGGATAGGGCAGTTGCTAGCAAAATGTCCTAGTTTTCTATAATTATAACAGTTGCTAGGAGTTGTCTGTCTTTCTAGAGCAGGTGTCTAGCTAGATTGTCTATAGGTAACTAAGGTGGACTAGGGTACTAACAGAGGTGCAGGTCAGGGTGCACTAGAATAGTATACTGCCTTAGATGTATCACTAGAAACCTTCTAAGACTAATCTGTACTAGGTCTAATAGTAGACTATTAGGTAAGATTAACAGTTTACTTTAAAATAGCAGAGGTATTCCTTCTTTCTATGTTATAAGCTGTTAGGTGGGCTACTATAGTCTTAAAGGAGCCCTTCTAAGTGTGTTTAAAACCTAAGTTTAGTACTCTTAGGCTAGGCAGTATCTTCTTCTATAGGTAAAAGAACTATTCTAACTTTAATATAGAACCTTTAACAGCAGCACTAATAAAGTAAGCTTTAAAGGTAGGAAATGCTTCTCTTTTACTTATCCTTAGAGTCTAAAACGCCTGTTGCGCCTCTATCTTTTTGTTGCTAGTAATAAAGTATGTTTATAAGAGCTTAATTATTTCTTCTATGTTTCTAAACTAAAAGTTGTCTAATTTAGCTAAGTATCTAGGCTCTAGGTATTCCTTCGCGATACCAGCAGTGTGTCCCCATACTAGCGCCATGCGTGCGCGCTTACTCTAATAGTAATCTGCATTAATGTTAAGTCTGTCTGTAATAGAGGCTTACTATTATTTAAATGTAGGTTCTTTGCTGTCTGTAAGGTTCTTAATCTTAGGCGTGCGTTTAGTAAGGTAGCTTTAAGGGAGCTTAGGGGTGCCTAAAAGGTCTCTTGCTATTAGAGTGGTAGGGGTGATTTAAGGCATTATTATAAGTAATTTAGTAGTTAGTAGGGGATAATTAGGACTAACAGTTTTTAATCTAGTTAGCTGTTTAATTTGTGCCCTTAATTAAGTAACTTAGTCCTTAAGGGCTATACTGCTAGGGTTTAACTCTAAATCTAGTAGGTTTTTAGCTTTAGGTCCTACAAAAGGGGGTTTAGCTGTTAAAGTTAGTAGTAGTTTAGTTCTAGGGGCAGGCATCTTGCCTTAGCTGCAGCTAGAATAGGTTGCAGTCTTTGCAATAAGATCTAATAGTGGTTAAGAGTTAGGCATTAGTAGTTATCCTTAATCCTAATAGGTTATTAGTAGTCTTTAAGTTTTTACCTTAGCGCACTCTTTACAACTTTTCTAAAGGCAATCCTAATTGCAGGGGATAGAAAGTTCTAAACCTAAAGGCTTTAGTTAACAGAAGGTCTCTAGGATCCTGTCTGTACTAACTAAATAATTTAATGTGACAGTGTGTAAGAACAGTAACCTAAACTAAATTAGACGCTTCTTAGAGTTAGACGTAGTTAAACAAACAATTAATGTGATATTATTAATAAGGCTGTTACTAGTAAAAGTAAGTTTTCTAATATAATGTAACAGCGCAGGCAAGACAATGGGTCTGAATGCGGTATGAATCCACTCAAAGGCCTATAGGTGTCATTGGTATTCCCAGGTCTCTGAGTCCCCACGCACTCCCATATGCCTCTGAGTGGATTCATACCGCATTCGGACCCATTGT